AATTTATTTGTTCATTGCACTGCCTTAGATTGGCTTGGCTAGTTCATTAAAGAAATTGGTCCATATCTGAAACTATTCTAGACAAGAACATTGTGGCTTATAGAATCTGCCTGTCTCGGTTATTTCCCGAGGTCGTTACGTGTTTTTGAAGTCATCAGATCTTGATTGCCCTCGACCTCCCATAATCTGGTAAGAATGCCATTTTGTAGATGTTGTGAGTTTTGTTGAGTTTAAGAACTTTTTTGTATTCTTTGGAAGATCTATGTATTTGGAAAATCACATTTCCTCTTTAAATGATATCTAAAAAGATTATCATATGTGTAGGTTGATATCATTTTTAGTTCATATTTTAATTTTTTAATGGCTTCATTTTTCAACTATTAAATTTGATTTATAACATGTACACGATATCTATTATAAGTGTATGTATGCTGGTTGAGTTGGGTCGGATTATGAGTATTTTTTTCTTAAATCAATCGAAATTTTGGACTAACCCAAAATTCATAGATGATTATCGACAATTTCATCTGTAATGGACTTCACTCGTAATGATAGTTGATGAACTTCTATCACTTCTATAGCAAGTTTATCATTAAAGATTTAAAAAATACAAACACCAGAATGGAATGAAACCTTATATATATATATATATATATATTATTTATTTATTGTTATTATTTATTTAAATTAAAATGAAACAAAACTCAAAATACTAAATTAAAAATTTTATTTAAACTTTTTTTTTAAAAAGTATTTTAATTTCGTTATATTTTTTAAATTTAAGAACTAAAATATAAACCTTAAATTTAAGGACTAAGAAATATATATAAAGATTAAAAATATAAGAAATTTGAAATTTCATTACTAAAATAAGATTTAAGCATAAAATACTTTTAAATTGAGATTTTATTTAATTTTTTTTAATTCCATTCAAGAATGAACATTTATAATCATAATTGTTGCTTATCGATTGAGATATCGTCGGAATTTACAATTAATAAATAAAATATAAAAAACCATATTATTTAATGTATTTTTAACAAATTATAATAATAGTTTTAATGCAAGAAAAAAATATAACATGAACGTATTATTAAAATTTAGAAAAGAAAATTTAATAGCGATTATTTTTGGGAAAAAAACAATAAATTAATAATAAAACTATTTTTTAAAGATTTAATAAAAATGATAAAATTTAATGATATTAAAAAGACCAAAATTAAATTTTAATATAAATAAAACATTGGTTTTTACATTTTAGAGAGAAAAGAAAAAATATAATTTCGATTCCAAAAATAGAATTTCCTTTCCACAATAGAATCACCGAAAATCGTTACGTATATATTCATTCATGTTCGCTTCTTCTTCTTCTTCTTCGAATTTCTCCTCCGTCTATGGCTGATCTTCTTCAACCTCCATTTCTCTCCTCCTTCTTCCTCAACGCCTAACTCTCTCTCTCTCTCTCTCTCATCTTCTCCATTTTCACCTCTCTATGGCTGCCCGCAGCGCCTTTCATATCATATGCCGCCTCGCCTCCCCTTACCGGAGCCGTTTTCAGCTCTCCCCTTTCAATCTATTCTCTGACGCCCGATCCGTCACCTACATGCCGAGGCCTGGAGATGGAGCTCCGCGCGCGGTCACTCTCATTCCTGGAGATGGAATCGGTCCTCTGGTGACTAATGCGGTCGAGCAAGTGATGGAGGCGTTGCACGCTCCTGTCTACTTTGAACGCTACGATGTCCATGGTAATATGAAGCGGGTTCCTCGCGAGGTAATGGAGTCTATTTTTAAGAATAAGGTGTGTTTGAAAGGCGGCTTGATGACTCCGATGGGCGGTGGTGTTAGTTCTCTCAATGTGCAACTGAGGAAGGAGCTCGACTTGTATGCCTCGCTTGTTAATTGTTTCAATTTCCCTGGATTGCTTACGCGTCATGAGAATGTTGATATTGCCGTCATTAGAGAGAACACCGAGGGTGAATACGCTGGCCTCGAGCATGAGGTTATTCCTGGCGTCGTCGAAAGCCTCAAGGTAATATATATAAAATTGTAAATGTCTGTTGATTGCAGATTTCTTGACCTGTTTGGAGTGGTATAGATGATTTGTTATATGGTGGTTCTCTGATTGATAAAAGTTATCTCTGTTTCATTTTTAAACATCTTGGAGATATACACAATCGTTCTTGGAATGAACAACGAACAAAGCTTCAAAACGAATGCTGCAATGCATTAACAATAATCACTTGTTCAATCAGTTGTCCTTCTTAGGTTATCTGTTGGACGAGATCAATTTGACATATCTATAGCATTTTAGTCCGAACCCCCTGTTCTTCAAGAATTCAAGCAGCTTGCATACAAATGTATACATACACTCTTGTGCTCAATGGTTCATACTCACAATTTGCCGATTATATTCCTCTTGCTCCTCATTTCAATGCAGTAACCTGAAATGTAGCCTGAATTACTGTAGGTGATTACAAAGTTCTCCTCAGAACGCATTGCCAAATATGCATTCGAGTATGCTTATCTGAACAACAGGAAGAAAGTGACGGCTGTACACAAAGCCAATATCATGAAACTTGCAGATGGGCTGTTTTTGGAGTCTTGCAGGGAAGTGGCAACCCAATATCCTATCATCCAATACAATGAGGTTATTGTTGACAACTGTTGTATGCAGCTTGTTTCAAAACCTGAGCAATTTGATGTTATGGTATGTAGCTTTCTAAGCTGATATTTGTTCCATTCCTGGGCACGTCCTTTTGTTTTTGCTTTCCCACCACATGCTAGAATGAAAACAATATCCATTATTTGTGGTCCTTTAGTTGTTTTGAATTCCAGGGTCTCAGATAAGGTGTAATAGTTTAGCTCTCTGGTCCCTGAAAAATGCTTAGTCCTACTTTTGAAACTTGGATCAAGGGGTAATCTGGTTCAAGCTTTACAGTGTCTGCAGATTTCTTTCTTTGAGCATGAATCTAAATGGAATGTATAGTTCATTCCTTGAGTTGCTAGACAAGTGAATCTACAGTGATCGGGGACCCAGAACTTAATGCCCCGGTGATTGAAAAGGAACCCTGATCTTTCTCAATGAATGGGCCATGAGTCGAAATCTCCATAGGCAACTTACCAGGGAAATCAATTTTCTTGCACTTTTGCTGATTGGTTTCATATGGTGTGCATTGGTCATGCGGTGTTTCTTAATTTCGAAGGAAACCTGTGTTAAAAAGCTTGGAGGTTGGATTTAGAAATATCTTAGGCTTAGTATCTCTTGGGCTTCTAGTAGTTGGAAAATTCTGTTAGATATGGTTAGATTTCGAAAGAAATATTTAGGATTCAAGGACCAAGAAAAGTATCTCTTACTCAATTGAATGTGGTAGAGGGAAACACTTGTCTTGGGAAATTTGTCGAAGTGCGTGTAAATTGGTTCGAAAACTCACGAATGTTGTTAAGAAAAGTGTATGAGTTCCAATCCCTGTTTTGCTTAATGCTTCTCTCTCTGTTTTTTTCCCTCACAAATTAAGCAAGTTCCTCGCTCTTACTTAAATGGTTGTCTATTTTGTTGAAGCTTATACTTCGCCTATTCTTTTCTGACCCAAGGCCTCTTTATGTTGAAATTTTGCTAACAAGGCCCTTTTAATTCTTTGGATCAGGTGACTCCCAACCTTTATGGCAATCTAGTGGCAAACACTGCAGCTGGACTTGCAGGAGGCACTGGTCTCATGCCAGGAGGTACAATTACTATCCACTTTCTTAAGTCACTGATCGTGCATATTATTACCACTATTGTGACATTTCATGTCGGATGGAGAGGAGAACGAAACATCTTTTATAAGGGTGTGGAAACTTTTTTCTGAGCAGACAGCGTTTTAAAAACTTTGAAGGGAAACTCAAAAGGGAAGTAAAAAGAAAGACAATATCTGCTAGCGGTGGGCTTCAGATATTATAAATGATATCAGAGTGAGATACTTGGGCGATGTGCCAGCGAAGAAGCTGTTCTCCGAAGGAAGTAGACACGAGGCGGTATGCCAGTAAGGACATTGGGCCTTGAAAGGGGTAGATTTGATAGGGGTCCCACATCGATTGGAGAAAGAAAGAGTGTCAACGAGGACGCTAGGCCCTAAAGGGGGTGGATTGTGAAATCCCACATCGATTGGGAAGGAGAACGAAACACTCTTCATAAGAGTGTAGAAACCTTTCGCTTGCAGACGTTTTAAAAACTTTGAGAGGAAGTTCAAAAGGAAAAACCGGATTAAGTTTGGGCTATTACAACTAAATATGACAAGGTTTTACTTGAAAGGATTGAAAGGAGATAAATATGGATGTCTTTTGAAGTGTCGTTTCAGTTGGCATTTGGTAATGGATTGTTACAGGCAACGTGGGGGCAGATCATGCCATATTTGAGCAAGGAGCCTCAGCGGGGAACGTGGGGAATGAGAAAATAGTGGAGCAAAAGAAAGCCAACCCAGTTGCTTTGTTGCTGTCTTCAGCCATGATGCTGAGACACCTTCAGTTTCCTTCATTCGCCGACAGGCTTGAGAATGCTGTGAAGCGTGTGATCATGGAGGACAAGTGCAGGACTAAGGATCTTGGTGGGAACTGCACCACCCAAGACGTTGTCGATGCTGTCATTGCCTTTTTGGACTAACACTGCCTCTTTTCAGTTCACTTTTCACCTGCCAGGTCCTATTTATTTAATTCATTTAATTCATTTTTCCCTTTGAAATTCTTTGTCAAATAATGCGAGGTTATTTGAGTTTAGTGGCGTTGTGTTGTGGAAAAGGAAAGAACTAAACCCATGACCTTCAAACATCACTTTCATATGCATATACCAATTTTGTAATTTTAAGGCCTCGCCAGGTATTTACCGCTTTCATAGTGATATCAATTTCATATATACACTAAATGTTATATGCATGTAAGGCTTCAAAGAGTCGTAAAAGAAAAAGAACACGAATGTATCATTTTTCATGTTGGAATGAATCATACACATATATATGAGATTACACAAGTATAAATCACCACTTTTAATACATGACTAATTCATCTATCCATTAGATCAGCTTATACCGACAACTTTTGAACTTTCAGAAATTTTAAAAATTTAAGAACGAACAAAGTTAAAGTCAGTCCAAAAAAAAAAAAAAACTCAAAGAATATAATTACTTTTCTCAGCTGCCTAACCCTGAAATTCAACCTTCAATATATTAAAAACATTAATTCCAAGGAAAAAAGATGAAGAAGCAACGATTCTTGAGGTCACCTTCTTCAACAAGTCCGGCGAGAAGTTACAGGAATTCAAACGACAGCTCGAAGTTCTCCGGTGAGAAGAGAAAATTTCCGGTGCTGCGAGAGAATAGGCTTGGTGATGGCGGCTTGTAATCTCGATGCCAATTCATCAGAGCCCGATCCATTTTCATCCATGGCAGCTCCCATCACTGTCTGCAAAATTTGCAGGGGGTCCCCATGGCTGATCACCAAGATGGCACACCTGCAAAACGCAACTCGACTTAACTTCTATCATTAAATTTAAAACTTCAACCTTTGTTAAGCAGCCAATTTCTAGAAGTTACCAACAAAATCTAACACAACCGAGCTTTAATCGACGAGATCGGAGATTAGAATCTCTCGACCTCAATTTGTTATACTAAAAAACATTCTAACCACCATCCATCACCAATCACATTCCAAATCCCACGTCCCATTCAGGGGACTCATCTATTCTATTTCGAGAAAGACATTTCAGCTTCAAAGATAGGTGAGTCGAGTCATGATGGAGTTTGACTGTTGGGATTGGATTGGATCTAAAAGTCACCTATTAATGAAATCCTGAACCTACAATCTCGTGTCGATCATGAGTCTAATATATCCCGTTAGACACTCGTTAAAATATCTTATTAGACAAAATAAGTATCCAAACTATTGAACTATGTACAGGTTGACGATAGTGCTAGATACATCTAAGTCGAACGGATAGGATTTTGATATAGGAGAATAAATATGGTATACCCTTGAAATTGTGACTCCATTTGAAGCACTGTTTTGGCTAGTCTTGAAGCAACATCTTCAACGCTTTCTCCACCTTCGGGGCGCTTGAATGGATCTTCCTCATCAACAGCCCCAACTTCTTTACACTGTTTTAGATGAACCAACACAAAATCAATAAAGCCTCAGCTGAAATGGCATAAAAGGTTTCTATAATTTCAGTGACTATCTTGACGGTTCTCACAGGACGAGCTTGACACTACTACATTTGGTTCCCAAGATAATTCGTAGGATATTAAATCCTAAGTAGGTGGTCACCCAAGAAACATGTACACAAATGGACACTTTAGTTTGGCTAGTGTGTGTCCAACACCGACTCTTGTTAGACATGTAATGATACTTGTTACCTATTTGTTAGACACGTGTCGTAGACGCCTTTCGTCTATATATTGACGGTAAGAATTTTTTTTAACTTTTTTTTTTTTTGTAAAGGTAAAGAGCGTTAATGCTACTTCTAAAATTTTATCGTATTTTTTTTAAAACAAAACAAAGGACTTATAGAAAATTGTAACTTTTGATGTCAGCAAAAAGACAATGAAGAACAAGTAATGGTTTGCTTACTTTGGCTTGAGACAAGAACTCCAATGAAGGACCAAAGTAGCGTTCCCTGAGATCTTCCATCATCTGCATATCAAAATTTATATAATGATCAGCTGGAGGAAGATGAAGAACATCTTGAATCCACAAAAGTGGCCTACCAGATTCTTCACACAAACACAAATGGAAAGAAAACAGTTCTTTTACCTTGCACTGAGGGCTTTCAAATGGAAGATTCAGTGCAGATGCAGCCGCTTTAGCTGTATGGATTGTTCTTGAGAATGGCGAATAGCAAATCCGAACATTTTCGAGCGGTATGCAATTTTCCTTCAACTCCTGCACTCGTAATATAGCATTTCCATGAAATGAATGAATCTAAGATGCATCGTTACTTTCATTATCGAAACCGACCAAGAATGGCAGACTGCAATCGACTTAGATACATGGCAGATTAGATTGAGATGATAGTTCATCGGGTATAAACAAGTCAGATCAACAAAGGGTCAGGTTAGTTTTGGTGGGATAGGATTAATTATCTATTTTCCCTCAATTTGAGACCATTGGGGCCAAGCCCCATGTTCTTCCCTAGCCAGTATTAGACAGAACGTGTGGCTGCTATTCTTGTGAGATCCCACGTTGGTTGGGGAGGAGAACAAAACATTTTTTATAAGGGTGTGGAAACTTCTCTCTAGCAAACGTGTTTTAAAAACCTTGAGGTGAAGCCCGAAAGGGAAAACCTAAAGGGGACAATATCTGCTAGCGATGGACTTGGGCTGTTACAACTGGTATCAGAGCTAGACACCATGTGATATGCCAACGAGGAGGCTGAGCTTCAAAGGGAGGTGGACACAAGGCAGTGCGCCAAAAGAGAAACCACAGATAGGACAATATCTGCTAACAATGGGTTTGGGTTTGGGTTGTTACAGAACTTAATTTTCTTTTAGGTTCAACACGTGGAGTAGAGAGATTCAAATATTTGATTTCTTGATCGAAGGTATATGCCTTAACCGGTTGAGTTTTTCTCAAGATCGCATCGACTCGTAACTCGCTTAGAAATCTAGTAGTTCTTCAGTTTTCTGAACTGGTTTTCTAGTTTATATGAATGCTTCCTATAAAGAACAGTCCCCCACTCTATTGCAATTATATGGATATCAAACAAATTAAACCAATCCATTTCAAGTCCTGTTGGGAAATGTTTGGCTCATAATTGTTATGCCGGTTTACACAAATCTGAAAAAACTATACAGCTCTACAGCCTGAAAAAATGTGGATTAAGGACCAAAAAAACACCTTTAAGAATTGTTCTCCAGCCAACTGCGCCTGTTCAACGCCCTCAGAAACCAGTTGATACTCAGGGAGGGTACCATTTTCCTACAATAGAATCAAACTCTCAGTCAATTAACCTGTTCTTCATTCTTCTCTCAATCAACCGGCATACAAAAACTCAAGAAACATGTCCTATCACAAGCGCAAGACCCTTAAGAAACACTACAAATTCAAGCAGAAAAGTGTAAAATCCATCATAATTTGAGCATAAAATCAGCATTAACGAACATCCCAATTCATTTCACGCATGAACAGAAAAGAAAACAGTCATTTCTGAAACATATTTAGCTGCCCGACCATTCTTTGGCCTAAAGAACAGTCTGAAAAATTCTCCACAGCAAATCAAAATCAAACAAGAACCCAGAAAAACACCATATTCTAACAAGCCAAACAACAAACGAAGAATAAAACAAGGGATCAAACAGTCACAGACTATAGAAGAAACGATGAGGCCCTTCTCATTGGGAATGCTCTTGCCATGCCTGAGAATCCAATATCTGTTGCGTAGAAATGGCGCCGCTGCCATTCTCTCTAAACTCCCCTCCCTGTTTCTCTTCAGCCGTTCACACCACTACTGTTCTTCAATCGTTTCTATGAATTTATTATACTTTTTTTTTATGTAGTACACCCTTTTACAGTCAGATTATGGGCTCATTTTAATTTTTGAGTGGCTCACATATAAACTAGTACAACAACAACTAATCAACAATAAACGTCACGGCAATAGATGCCTATTACTAATAAACGTCACGCACAACATGTAGTCTATTGCTTGAACAAGTCTACTAGTGATGGTAGTCTATTACTACAATCACCGAAACACTCGTTCGACAATGCTTGCAATGTTTATTACTAATAAACCTCATTCACAACATGAAGTCTGTCTCTTAAACAAGTCGACTTGTGATGGCAGTCTATCTCTATTGTCACTAATACACTAGTTCAACAACGATTGCTATTATGATTAAAGTCTATCACAGGTAGAGTTCTTTTAGAACATGTAGTTTGTCTCTTGTGATAAATGCCTATTACTAATAAATGCCATTCACGACATATAGTGGTCTAGCTCGTATCAATGATCGCTATCACTCATACACTAAGTTCAAGAACAGGGAGGAGAAAGGGATGGGTGTGCCCAAAGGCGACAACATGAAACTTGGAGATGGGTTCAAAGCCTGAGCAGTTTGATGTGATGGTAAGTAGCTTTCTAGGCTGATATTTGTTCCATTCAAGGAGCTTGTCCTTTTTTTGTCCTTTTGTTTTGGCTTTCCCACCATGTGCTAGACTGAAAAATGTGGCCCAATCTTTGTTTATTATAAAGGGACACTGTATTTTTTAATGTTATCTTCAAATAAAAATAAATTGTGGTAGGTAGGTTTATATCTTTCTTGAAAATGGAGATATCACTTTTTTTTTCGGAAGAATTCGGTCGACTCAATCTAACCGAACCTAAAATTTGAAGAATTCGATCAACCCAATCTAACTCAAAGAATTCGGTCAACTCAACCTAACCAAACCTATGATCCGAAGAACTCGATCAATCCAACTCAACCCAACCTATAACCAGCTTTTTCTAAGGACACTAAACTCTCTGCAAAGACCTTGAAGATTCTACTAAAACCCTAGAGGGATCCAAAAACTCAAAATCCATTAACACCACATAAAGCTTTTGATTGAATACCTAAATTCAATTTCAAATATCACAAACTTATGTATTTGGTGACTCACAAATTCCCCTGCTCCAGATGATTTCGCGGTGCGTTCGGCCTTCTGGTGATGTCGGCATCACACGAACGATTGAATCCAGCGGATCCTTGTGCGCGACTCGGTGGTAGAGATCGACGGATCGTGACCTTATCTCTAGCAGCTCCTCGACTGGACGACGGCGAGAACCGGCGGCAACCTCGAGGGAGTTTCGACGAAAGAAAAGTCGCGACTTTGTTGATTTTAAATGGAGGGCAATTAAGACATTTCACTTTGAATGCAAAAACATTATACAAGACGTGATTTCACGTCGATCGGAGATGTGAACGAAACGTTTCTGTATAAACTTTTCTTTAGTAGACACATTTTGAAATCGTGAGGTTGACGGTGATACGTAACGGACCAAAATGGACAATATTTACTAGTAGTGGATTTGAGCTATTACAAATAATATCATAGCCCGACAGTATGCCAGTGAGGACGTTGGCCCTTAAGAGGGTAGATTGTGAGATCCCGTATCGATCGAAGAGGAGAACGAACTCACTTGCCATGAAGGGGAGTAGACTAACGACAATACGTAACGAGCCAAAATAGACAGTAATTACTAGATAGACGACAATATATTGATTAAAATATGATAAAAGAAATAATAAGGGACTTCGAAAATAAAATCTCGAAAGTTGAAGGACTAATCGTGTAATTATCTTAAAATAAGTTTTTCATTATATAATATATATATATATATTGACCTTTCGAGGACCATAGTTCTGATCCACGTGTCTTTCTGCGAGTCTTTGAGCATTACGTCCTTCAGCTCGTGAAATCTACTCGGAATTTGCAGCACATTGAACATTTTGCGTCCATTTTGGTTTTGATGAGCAAATATCAATGCATTTTCGAGGTGATTTGATGCTCTGAGCAGTGAAGCAACTGTATGAAATTGAGAACTGAAGGTTTATTCTTCCTTCCGATTCCACATGGCTCTCGCTACTTCATCGGAGCGGTTCCTTTGAACTAAGGTAAGAACGAACGCTTTTGATGCAATTTGATTTGGATTTGGTTAAGATAATTTGCTTTTTTCGCGAAGAGGTTCGCGTTTTGTGTTAATTTTGAAATGGAGAATATGATCAGTTCGTGTTCTGTCGTTGAAATTGTTTTGAATTTCAAATTTGTTTCTGCTTCGTTTTGAATTCTATTTAGGTTTTCTCTGAGCTAATTTCGCGTTTTGAGAACTGATTACTTCTTATTAATGATCGGTTTTTCTTTTCATCCTGCATCTTCGCGTTTTTAATCGCAAGAGATGCGAGCCAAAAACTGGAAAAATAGAAGAAGTAAGACACTTGTGATTATGCTTCTCAAGTTTTTTTCCCCTTCAGTGTTGTAATGTCTTTCAATATGTGAGTTTAATGCTGTAATAGCGAAGCCCACCGCTAGCCGACATCGTCTGTTTTAGCCCGTTACGTATTGCCCCTCAGCCTCACGGTTTTAAAACGCATCTACGAGGGAGAGGTTTCCACACCCTTATAAGGAATATTTCGTTCCCCTCTCCAACTAATGTGAGAGCATCCTCATTGGCACACCATTCGAAACCTGCCTTTGATATCATTTGTAAGCCCAAACTCACCGCTAGCAGATATTGTCCGCTTTAGCCCGTTACATATCGCAGTCAGCCTCACGGTTTTAAAACGCGTCTACTAGGGAGAGGTTTCCACACTCTTATAAGGAATATTTCGTTCCTCTCTTCACCCGATGTGGGATCTCACAAATGCATTGAGTTTCGACCATTATCTCTGAGATTATCTGAAGAGGCTTCCGTTGGCTCTAAGCTTGGCGCTTCATTTCCATTAACCTATGTCAAAGTATGTTCTAGGGATAAAATCTAGCTGGTAAAGTGTCAAAGGTTAACATTGTATTTTATTGATGCTGTGCATTACAAATTTAAAGGCATATTCTTGCATAATGTTGGAAATGTGGAACTTCTGCAAAACTCTCTTGGGACAGTTTGTGTTTGTATTATACTGGCTGATATCAAATATTTCTTGTGTTCTTTGAGTTTAGTATCTAACTATTTAATGTTAGAAAGCATTCCAATTAATTATCTTTCCTTTTGAAAAGCTTCCATCGAATCGATATATTATCCGTCCTGATATGTATTGTTCATAAGCTAACATTTGTTGTTCATATATCTATGAGTATCTTTTGAGTGTTCATTTGAATTATACTTATCCTAAATGGTTATATATCCACCTGACATTTATTGTTCATATATCCACTGTATCTCGATCTGAATACTATCAAAATGGTCTTGCTTCTGTTTCTTGATCTCTCTGATATATCTATTATTTATCTCTTCTTAAACATTTCAGATGGTTCAGAAATCCATAGACTCCAAATTAAGTAATTCTGGGAAGGAATCGCCTGCTCATGAAAAGCAACTGCAGATTTCTGCCAAGAAGACAGCATTAAGAGACTTGCAAAATGATAATAGGGTCGTAGCTTCCAACTGTACCGGAAGCTCTCCTCTTTTGAAGGAAAGAGGTCCCAGCAGTGACTTCATTAAAGTTTCTGGTAACAATAAGCCCTCTCCAGTCTTCACAACGAGTCCGCCTCGTCTCGTTTCTTCAACTTCTAATACCACAACTGGGCACCTCGTTTATATCCGTAGAAAATCCGATGCAGATATAGCAAAGAGTAGTCCTTGTGATAGTTCAAGCATAAAAGCTGATTATCAGAGTAAACTTGGTCAATTAGCTGAAACTGTGCATCTAAAATCCCAGGTCAAGGAGTTACAGGACCATTGCTTCCCTGCATTTGCCCCTTTTACAATGGTGTCTCCCATGAATGCATCCGGTAAACCTTCAGTTCCTCATAAGTATGGCATTAATTTAGCCACAGCAGAATCAGACTTTGATTCTGCAGAATGGAAAAATTTGCAGTGGGAACATAGATATCATCAGTTGGAGTTGTTGTTGAATAAATTGAACCAATCAGATCAACAAGATTATCTTCAGGGTATGTTCTTCATTTAAGAAAGTGCTTCATCTTATTCCTGAAATAGTTTGAATGAAACTTATTTACTTAATGAATGATTTTACTTTTTTTTTTTTTTATCAGTGCTTCGATCGTTGTCATCAGTTGAACTTAGCAGACATGCAGTTGAATTGGAAAAGAGATCCATTCATCTCTCGTTTGAGGAAGGTAGTTTGATATCTGTATTACCTAACTTCACTTTCCTTTTCTGTGATCCTGGGAAAACTATTATAGTCTGCAAAATGAGTTGTTGACAAAATGTTATGTTTGATTCAATTATTTTTGTTCATTGCGGTCTTGTGTGTTTCCATACTACTTTGAACTTTTGACTTTCCATGATGATTTTTCTTCTTTGGGCTGAATAAGTCTTGGATGTGGACAGGATAATTTTTAATATGTTAGTTGAAACCTTATCCCTCCTTATCTTAAGCTTCCTCTATGTTGGATTTCGACTTGCAAGCCTAGAAAGAAAGAAGTATATTGTAACAGCTCAAGCCCACCGCTAGTAGATATTGTTCTCTTTGGGCTTTTCTTTTCGGGCTTCTCAAGGTTTTTAAAACGCATCTGCTAGGGAGAGGTTTCCACACTCTTATAAAGAATGCTTCGTTCTCCTCCCCAACGGATGTGGGATCTCACAATTCACCCCCCCCCCCTTCGGGGCCCAGCATTCTTGCTGGCACTCATTCCCTTCTCCAATCGATGTGGGACCCCCCAATCCACCCTTCTTCGTTGTCCAGTGTCCTTGCTGGCATACCACCTCGTGTCCACACCTCTTCGGGGCTCAGCCTCCTTGCTGGCACATTACCCGGTGTCTGGCTCTGATACCATTTGTAACAACTCAAGCCCACTGCTAGTAGATATTGTCTTT